CAGAGAAATTGTAAGGATAGAAACGACGTAAAGACTAAAAATCAGATAGAGAAATGTGGAGATCAGATTTAGTAATAAAATTTACTTTTTTGCCGTCATGAAGATGAACTGTCGGATACCACACATAAAAAGCAACAAATAAAAAAAGAAAACGGCAGCAATTTCAAACTAACCATTCCCGAAGTATCTTTAAAATAAGGTGGAAAAAACATTGCAGGAGAAGCACTCTTCCGATTAGCTTCGTTATCATTTTCCAGATCTTCAACACTATGGATCTTTCGCTTCAACAGTGCCTGAAATAAACCTAAATATATGCATGGGACATGAATGAGGTAAAATTATGACACATCTAAAAAAACAGCTTATAGAACATCAAATTTTGACCAGCTGTCCTGACAAAGAGGCACATTTAAACTATGAACGGCTATACTGAATTTTTTGGCGCATATGAAATAAAGAGTCAGATATTTTCAGACTGAACGAATACTCAAATGAACATTCGGAACATAAATAAGTCACTCGAAAATAACCTGCTCTCGTCGATTTCCAGCTAGTAACGAATCAATTCTCCTAGTTAACTGTCCCAAGAAATCCATATAGCATCGATTAACGACAACGGTTTTATCGAGCTCGTCCAACTGAATTGCTGATAACTTATCAGCATTCATTTTATCGCAACCATCGTCATCCTCCATTGCATCCAACCCTCAATTCGTCAGTTAACCTGCTACTGAACGATTTATTTAATCCAGGATATGAATGCATGAGCTGTCGGAGCTCGTTCACTTGACAGTGCACAATTCGATATATGTTTATGGACAGTTCGCCACACCAGTTTTTTTTTTGAGTGCTTTGCAAGTTTCAGCTGAATCGCTCGTGCGTATGCCATCGCAAGTTCGATGAATATCGTAAAACAACGGTCATAGACAGAACGATGGTATAGCAATCGACGGAATATCTGCAGATATGTGATACGGTACGAAAATCAGTTCCAGAGTGATTTGCACATCGAGATTTCATCGTGGAATTTTCTAACC